GCCTCTGCTTGCAGTCAGGTGAAGGCCGCAAAACTTTTCTCGGCTTAGAGTGCTGTGGAGAGATGAGGGAGAGACTTGCCGATTTAATGGGGCTTCTCGCTTGGTGATTTTGTGGCTGCCTTTAAGCAGTCGCAAATAATTAGGAGGGGAAAAAACACCGACCAACTTTTCACACCCCCATCTAAGAAAATGTAGTGTTTCATGTCCGAAAAGTATACATTGTTTGCATAGGAGTAAAGTGAAATCAGAATTGTGAAATGGATGAGGAAATGTGCTTAAGGCTTCCACCCTGGGAGAGGAACACTTTCGGACACAAGGACCTTCCAGTAAAATAGGGGAGATGTAGCTTTTATTGCAGATTTTATCAGATAGTATTGATTTTGAAAAACAACTTTATTAATACTTAATGAGACTTTTCCACTCACTGGGTGAAATCTTTCCTATTCAAATGGTTCTCTGCTCAAGCATGTCCTGGAGGACTGAACAGCTTACTTGGATCCTTTTTTTATTTGAACAAAATCTGTTTTGAACAGTCTTCTAGAGAACTTGCCACAAAGCAAGACAGCTCAGGTTTTGCCTGTAGCACAACTTTGGCGTGACGTATTTTTCCTGAAGTGTTCCTGAAGACAGGTGTTCTTCATTTGAATTGACTGCATTGTTGTTTAAAGTATTAAATTTCTTCTGATTTTTTTCTGATCTTTGTGTGCCCTGATATTAAGTCAATATTTAAAGAGCAGTCAGCATTTGGAGTTGGGATAGCTTAAGGGTGTGAATGAAGTTTCTGTTTCTGTCCCTCACCAAGACAGCGGTATGAGGGAGTTATCTTGCTGAGAACTCCAGCACTTCAAAAGAATCACCTTATTAGTGATGGAGACTTGTTACAACCCAGTAGCTGGCTTTTACTGTTAGGTAACTGACCTGTAGTTGATTGAGTCAGATCAACAACTAGCATAAATTCACTGGCACTGGTTTGTTTTAATAATATCACACAAGCATAACTAAAGCAAGACCGTCAAATGGTGTAGGAATAGGAGAGCAAAATACCAGCTGAAATATATGAATTCAAAATTCTGAATTACTTATCTACATTATTAATAATGAAACATACAGGCATTTTGTTCAAATAAGAAAATGAATTTAATATAAACTAGAAGAAAATACTTTATTGGTGTGATTAATGTCTTTTCTGTATTTTTAGAGGTTTCACCTCTGTACTTGTGTCTATTCACTTTTCTCCTCTAATTCTCAGGGATGTTGATCCTCTATTGTGCTGACCAAACTACTTGTTCACCGTTTAAAGAATGCATAATACCTTTATAGATTTGCTCTCTACTGCCTAATTTTTCTGACTTGCCTGTTTAGATTGCAAACTCTTGCAGAAAGCTGTGTAAACCAATGTCGTTTGAGACCTGCAGGTGTTACCACCATGTTAGTAATTAATGCCAACACTAATAGTGAGCTTTTACATAACCACAGGAGGAAAACTTCCAGGATGGATTTTGTGATTTGGATTTTCCTCTCTTGGACCCTTATTTTTAAATCCTGCTTTGTTTGTTTGTTACTCATTCATAAATAAGCACATACTGCATCAGACTCTTACAACATTATCTTTTTAAGAATAGATTTCTGTTTTGCACTGAAGTGAGATGCTCAAATCATGTACAAATTAGTAATAGTATAATTATATAGTTTTGCTTCTGTACGTGCTGGAAATATTTGTCCCCTTCTTATTTTTCACTTATTTTTCTTTGGTATCCAGGGACAATCAGACAAGACAAATACAAGATGCTGTTTCAAATGTGGAAAAACATTTTGGTGAATTGTGCCAAATATTTGCTGGATATGTACGTAAAACTGCCAGACTACGAGACAAAGCAGATCTTCTGGTAAATGAAATATATGCATATGCAGCCACGGAGACACCAAGCTTAAAAGTTGGACTGAAAAACTTTGCAGATGAATTTTCCAGACTTCAGGATTATCGCCAGGCAGAGGTACAGAATTAAAGATGTACATGTTGTGTTTGCCATCTGAACTTTTCAGTTACTTCTCTGTGAATAAAAGGGCAAAGATACGCTCTGCAGTCAGGAGAGAAATATAGGAAAAAACCACTTTTAAATATATCAGTGGCAGATAGAGCAGGATAGGCTGCCAAAGCATTCTTAATTTACTCTGCTAATAACTTCAGTGAAAACCGCCTGTAAATTAGTTCTCTTGAAGTCAGTGGAACTATTTGCGTGAGCACTCACAGAATTCGAGACAAACTAAGTCTTTTATTGACCTTAGACTTTGGATCATGATTTCTGGTTAATAAAGTGTTATTTTAGTTTTGCGGTTTGAGTTGTCTTAGCAGCAGCTGAGGTAGTACCAGTTGTGTTCCTTTTGCAGAGTTTATGCTCAGTAGCAGTATGGAAGAGAAGACCAGCTGGAGTCCTTCACTGGCCACTGACAGCAGCTGTAGATTTCATAAGTCTGTAGTTCAACACTAAAAGTACAAACTTGATTTGGATGACATGTGACAATATAGTCACATTTCTGCTAGATGAGTGAGAGCATAAAGAAAAGTGTTTGTGCCACTTAATACCACTATGTGCAGGGCCAGTCAAACTGTGACTTATGATCCAGAATTCCAAATGCTGAGATTTGAGAAAAAATAAATTCATTTCCTTGTACTGAAACTAGTTTTTGGAGGATATATCTATTCTTTTAATAGGCATAGAAAATTCCCATTTACAGTTTAGAAGAGCTAAGAACCATTATAATTTAAAAAAAAAACACACTAAAGTAGTTGATGTTCTCAATGTTTTCAGGTAAGGCTTTTTTTTTAAGAAGCATTGCAAGTCGTCTTTCTATATTAATGAAGTAGAAAATCTTTTAAAAGAAGTTAATCTATGAGGTAGCTAGTCTACAAAGTAGAGGGTTTGAAAGACGAAATACACATGGATCTTTAACAATGTATTTAGGATGAGATTTTTTAAGAAGTAGTAAGAAATACAAGGGTGTGAATTGTGCTTACATTTTTTCCATCAGATCATGCATCTGGCTCCAGCTGAGCCATACATAGCTCCTTACACTTCAACTGATGTAATAGCCGTTTATTGCTCTGGTAATACAACATTACAACCTATAAAAGCTGACGTTTGGGCTACATCCTCCTACCCTACCTGTCCCCAAACCATCGCTGCACTTCGAAGGAGAAAAGGCAGAAGAAGCAAAGGAGAAGAGAAGCTTTCAGCCTTTAAATCAAGTTATCCGTTGCTCATAAAAAACCCAAATAATCTCAGCTTTATTTCTTGTGGGCATCAGGTTAATTAACAAGTTTTCAGTTTTCATGTATATTGGCAATGTGAGTAAGAGAAAATTAGCTTATAAAGGCTGTTGATTTCTGGTCTTCAGCTGTGCTATGTATATAAACACTGAAGTGTGAGATATTCCATAACAGGTGGAAAGATAAGCAAGCAAGAGGGTGGGTTATTTGGTATGTTGGTATCATGTGTTTTATTTAAAGCCTTACTGCCCTATTTCATTCTATTGTGCTGATAGTTTAAGTGCATTTGACAGTGCATTGGTGGAGTGTAATGAAGGAGAAATGTTTTCTCAGTTGACACAGATTTTGGCTGACTGGTGACTGCTGGTTTAGAGGGGAGGGTAACATCTGTCCCTTCCTAGTAGAGGTGTGTACCTTTTCTCAATTTGGATGTAACGGTGGTGGGCTGGATGACTTCCTGATCCAAAGTCATCAGCAGCTTATGCTGCAGTTATGCTGGCAGTATTGTGAGTTTTGACAAGCAGGCAGGTCTTATCCTATTGCCTATCTGACTATATGTAGCTGATTTTCTAACTAGAACAACTGAAACAAAAATTCAGATGCATTCAGCTGTGAGAGTATTCATGTGTTTTGAACAACCTGTTGTTGGTATTTTTAATGTTTTCAGTAATTAAGTTGCTCTTTCCATTATTTTTAAAACAGGAGTGTTGCATTTCATATGCTATGTTTGATAGCAAAGATGGCTTAGTAGTCCATAATTTGTCAACAAGTGTAGAGCAAATACATTGGATAGGAAGCTACATCTCCAAGATGCAACGTTTGATGTGTTTAGTACTTGGTTATTAAAATCTCCACGCTTCATTTATCTTGTATTGCCAGTGAAGAAAAAGGAAATTCACTAGAAATCAGTTTGACCTCCTCAAAACAAAAATAATTTACTGGTTAATTTAATTGACTCTGTTTTTTGCAATATTTTTTAAACCTCCATCCCACTATATTTTCAGCCCATACAGACTAAATTCCTAATAAGAGGAGTCATTCATAAATTAATTGTTTCCTATTTCTGCATACCGTAGATGTGGATGATCTTAGTGACCTTGTGATTTCTTTTGTAGGTTGGCAGGCTTGAAGCCAAAGTTGTTGAACCTCTGAAAAGTTACGGGACCATAGTGAAACTTAAAAGGGTAGGTTAAACATATGTTTTTTCACAAGATGCATTTTGGTGTTCTGGCCACTCAGTTGAAAACTTCTACTTTAGAGTGGGGAGCGGTTCTTATTTTTAATATTGCAGTAATCCATCTAACTAAATTATATAGTAATACGTATGAATTTAAACTATATATATCTTGGAGGAAAAAATTTTTATGTGAAGATAAGGATATTCAAACTATTGGAGGACAAGCAAATGCTAAAAAAAGGCATTGTGGATAGCATGACATTTCCTGGATAGTGCAGGGTGTTTTCCTTTATAAGCAATTTATTATTAGTAGTAATCTCTGTGCTGCTTTTAACAGCTTTTCTAATTTAAAATTGCATTCTACATTGAAGATCACAATGAAGAAGAAACTTTTTGAAACTCATAAGCAGGTAGTGTCCTGCAGAGTCATTAAGGATAAGCTGAATATACACAAAAACCTGGGGTCTCTTCACTGTATTCTGGAAGCAGTCTATATTGGGGTTAGAAATATTCCCACAAAATACCTGTAAATTTCTTTCTTCCGGGAGGGATAGGCTTGAGCAAGTAAGTTTTAATAAGCAGATTTTATAAGATGAAAGTGATTCTTTGTAATACTTGTATATTACATAGAGGATACCCTTCACCCTGTAAATCTCAAATCTGCAATTGATGTATATATCTGTATCATCATCTATATAAATCAAAAGGTAAAATAATCATTATTTGGTGGTATTTTACATACAGAAATGTCATGTTGTGTTCAACATGGTTAATTTGAGTACATTGGGGCATTGCATTTCAAACTCACATTTTTCATGAGTTTTTGCTCATGTATCTTTTCAATACGGTGAAGAACTGAGTAGAGTGTTTGGAACTTACTGCACAGCCATCTCACTCAATTGTCAGAGAAACAGTTATGAAGGAACCGCGTCCTGTGCTTGAGCAGTGCTGTGTGTTGTAGTCCTTAGCAGAGTTGTAGACTGTAGAGCCTTTATTCTAGAATTTGGAACCTTAACAGTCACTCTGAAACCCAGCTTGTTGAGACCTAGAACTGACTGAGTATTCTACAGGCTGTAAATGTTGAGAGTGGAAGACAAGTTCCATGTGTTTCTGGCAGCAACATCTCTAAGGAGACACTGAGCCTCCCAGCAGTGCTGGAGGCTTCATCTTGAAATGCATTGCCGGTGATGGCCGATAAAGGCTGGGGACAGAAGTGGCTGAAGCCAAGTCATCCCTTGCAACAGTGAATGGCATTTCCTCTTGTCTTTGCCTTGCAGAATACCAGGAAGCATTACATAGTGTTCACTACAGTGAGGAGTACAAAAGCACTCTTAAACTGCAAAGGGGATTCACTATTTTATCCGAGTACCTGTGAACAGAGGGACTTCACTAAAGATGCAGACCATGAAATGATTTCATTTTTTCCTCCTGCCCATTGCTGTGAACCTTGGTTAAAACCTCAACTGTCTAGTTGTCGTGGTTTGACCCTGGCC